ATGAGTGGGGAAAACATGCGAGGAATTGGGTACAGCCAGAGAAAATGGTCAGTTAGGAGCCTTTGCTGTCCAAGGGACAGCAAAGAGGCTAGTGTCACTGGATGGCAGAGTACATGAAGTAGAGTGTCAGAAGACCAGAAAGGGAGGAAGAGTTGAGGTTATCAAGGGCTTCAGAAGCCAAGAAGAGGATTTTCTATTTGAGCCTACAGATAATAGGAACCACTAGAATTTATTGAATGGGGGTTGGAGCTAAGGAGAGTGTGTGACATGGTCATACCATTTTGGGAACTGAGTAGAATGTGGACTAGAGTGGAAAGAGACGAGTCAGGGAAGCCAACTAGAAGAGTATTGCAATAGTTCAGACCTGAGTTGATTAGAGTTTGCACCAGGGTGGGAACATGTCAGAGGAGGGCAACAGAGGTGGAGGTGATAGTATATGAGAGATCTTAAATTTGGCACAGAGACACGATGTAGTAGTGATGGGGACTACTAGGATGTGGAAGAACTCTGTTTCTGCCAAAAGAAGAGCAGCTAATACCTTCTTAGCTCATCTTAGGGACAATTTCATCTTTCAAAAGGTGGAAGAAACAATGAGGAGAAATTCAATTCTGGATGTCACGAATTTGAAAGAATTGGTTACTGGGATGGAACCCTTGGAGGGAACTGACCACAGAGTTCATGATAAAGAGAGGAAATCTGGACGTGAGACATTCAACCTGGTTGTGGGAGAAGCAGAATTTAAAAGCTTTAAAGGAAAGATAGGTAGCAACCCATGGACTAAAATATTTCAGAGTAAGTCAGCTTAGGAGGGATAAGAGATGTTCAAAAATGAAATTCCAAAGATACAAAGAGAAACATTTCCAAGGAAGGGGGAAAATGAGATTTGTCTGAAGAGACTAATGCGAATGAATAAGGAACTCAACAACCAGATTAGATTTTCAAAAGAAATGTACAAAAGATGGAAGCAAGGCTAGATGACAGAGGATGAACATAAAGGTGTGGCAGGGTCTTTTAAAAATAGTGTCAGGAGGGGGCAGCTGGGGGCACAGTGGATAGAGCACCGGTGCTGAAGTCAGGAGGACCTGAGTTCAAATCCATCCTCAGACCAAACACTTGACATTTACTAGCTGTATGACCCTGGGCAAGTCACTTAACCCCAGTTGCCTAAAAATTAAAAAAAATTTTTAAAAAATAGTGTCAGGAAGTAGAATGCTCAGAGTGAGCTAGGGTTGCTGATGGAAGCTAACAATAACTAAAAAAAAAAAAAACCTCCCACCTTTTTAGCAGTAGTGGAAGAAAGAGGAAAGAGGATAGTGTCTTTGCTTGGAGTGGACTGAATAAATGACAGCAGAGAAAAGACAAAGCTGTTCAACACTTACTTTGCTTCTATTTTTTCTGCAAAAGAGAATGACCTTTAAACAGGAAATAGTGGAACAAAATGACTAATAGTGAGTTGATACCTGAATTAGGTAAAGAGATAGTAAAACAGTACCCAGCTAACATTGATGAATTCAAGTCACCTGACCGAGATGAGCTACATCCTTGGGTTTTGAAAGAACTGGCAGATATGATTTTTGAATCATTGTCAGTAATGTCTGAAAGATCTTAGAAAGCAGGAGAGTCACTACAAAATTGGAGAAGGGAAAATCCAGTCCTAGTTTCCAAAAAAAGGGAAGAGAATAGAGTCTGGAAACTCGAGTTCAGTGAGTTTGACTTTGATTCTTGGAAAATTTTTAAAGAATTAAAGAAATGTTTGATGAACATCTATCTAAAAAGGGAAGCAGTGATAGCAAAGAGCCAGCATGGCTTCAGCAAGAGCAGGTCATTCCAGACTAACCTCATTTCCTTTATTCACAGAATTACTAAATTAAGTAGAAGGGAATGTTGGTGATAAAGTTTATATAGATTTTAATTTATTATGTTTTTAAAATTCTGAACTTAATAAACACTAAATAGCAAGCATTTTCATATACCAGATAGAATAGGTAATGAGGTTTCTTTTTGTTTTCAAGTATATATATATATATATATATATACAACTTGAATATTTTACTTTTAGAACTGTCTTGCTTATGTGTTTCCTTCTGAAGTTCACTTCTATGACTTAAAAAAATGCTTCAATAGCCTTCTTTTCTTTCCTTTTTTGATAATAATATTGCTCAACTTGCTTTCTTCCCCAATTCCACTTCCTTCATTGAAAGAAAAACTAAAACCCTCATAACAAATATGTGTAGTGAAACAACAACACCACCACCACCACCACCAACAACAAAATTACCCAAAATGTGTGACTCATTTTGTCATTGAGACCACCTTCTCTTTGTGAGGAAGCAGACATCATGCTGCATCATCCATCCTATCAAATTAAAATTTCAATGATCAAGTTTCTTAAGTCTTTCAAAACTCCTTTTCTTTACAGGATTGTTGTTATGTTAATTGTTCTCCTGGTTATGCTTACTTTAAACTGTATCTGTTCATATCAGTCTTCCCAGGTTTCTCCAAAACTATGACTTGTCATTTCTCCTAGCACTATAATATTGCTTTATATTCATGTTTTTCAGTCATTCTTCATTTGATGGGCACCCCTCCCCTTCGTTTCCAGTTCTTTGCTATAACAAATAGAGGTGCTACATATATATTTGGTTCCTTTCCTTTTTTTATATATCTTCGAGATATAGATGTAACAATGGTACTGCTAGGTCAAAAGTTATGTACAACTTGCTAACTTTTGGATATAGTTCAAAATTGTTTTTCAGGAAGTCTGGACCACTTTAGAGCTCTAGCAACAATGTACAGGCCACCTACCTTCATCACAGCCCATCCAATAATGATAACTTTTCTTTGTTTTTTGCCAATTTGATGGGTATGAAATGGAACTTCAGAGTTGTTTTAATTTGCATTGCTCTTATTATTAGTGATTCAAAGCATTGTTTCATATAGTTATGATAACTCGCCTTCCTTTATTTGGGAACTGACCATTCATTTTTTTTAAATAGTGCATCCGCAGCCTTGTAGTTGGGAATCATTGAATATTATGCTATTATTTTTGCTTGTATAGGTTGTATACCTAACCTGTTCTATTGATCAACTTTTCTATTTTTTAACCAGTACAAAAGAATTTTGATGATTATGGCTTTCCAGTATAGCTTGAGATCTGGTAATGGTCTTCCCATCTCTTCCCCCCCCGCCATTATCTTCCTTTATATTCTTGACCTTTTGTTCTTCTGGATTAATTTTGATGTTAGTTTTTCCAAGCCTATATAGGATGAATTGTATAGCATGAGTAAGTCAATTAATTAAAATAGTATTGTCATTTTCATTATATTGCCACAGCCCAACTATGAAGAATTAAGATATCTCCAGATTATTAAAGTCTGGGGGCAACTAGGTGGCATAGTGGATAGAACACCAGCCCTGGAGTCAGGAGGACCTGAGTTCAATTCTGGCCTTTGACACTTACTAGCTGTGTGACCCTGGGCAAGTCACTTAACCCCACTGCCTAGCAAAAACAAACCAAAGCCAGGTTATTAAGGTCTGTCTTTATTTATGTAAAGAGTCTTTTATAGTTGTATTTGTATACTTCCTAAATTTTTCTTGGTATATACTCTGTAGTTATTTTGAGTGGAATTTCTCTATCTTTTTCTCCTGGGCTTTGTGGGTTATATATAAAAAAGGTAATGATTTAGGTTAATTTATTTTACATTCAGCTATTTGTCTGGTTATTTTAAAATTAATTTTTAATTGACTTTCCATGATTCTTTAACTACACTATAATATCAAGAATAATTTTGTACTAATTTTGTTTCCTCTTTTCTGATGTCATTCACTCAGAGGAAGCTGATGGAGCTTGGAATCAGGAAAACCTAAGTCTAAACCCAACATCAGACACTTACTAGCTGCATGACCTTAGGGATGTCACTTAACCGCTGATTGCCTCAGTTTTCTCAATTGCAAAATGCAGGTAATAAAAAACTCACCTTGAAGAGTTATTGTGGGGATCAAATGAGAAATTTGTAAAAAGTACATAGCATAGTACCCGACTCATAGTAGGCATTATGTAAATGCTTATTCCCTTCCAATCTTCTTTAATTCCTTTTTATTATTGTATGGTGATAATGAATATCGTTGCTTTATCCCTGATATTATTGGCAAGGTCTCCAGTTTATTTCCATTACATTTAACATTGGCCCTTGATTTTATGTATCTATATATATATACGTGTATATATATGTATGTATAATTTAGCATATTAATGAAAAGTCTAGTCATTCCTATGCTTTCTTGTGTTTTTTTTTAAACATGAATTGGTGCTTATTTTGTCAAATTCTTTCTCTACAACTATCAATATAGTCATGTAAGTTTTATTATTTTAAGATTAACGTGGTCTGTTATGTTTATAGTTTTCCTAATATTGAACTAACCTTACATTCCTTGAACAAATCCAATATAAACATAGTTTTTAACTCATTAAAATGTTAATGTATCCTTTTTGCTAATTTTTTATTTAACATTTTAACTGATTTATTATGGATATATTGGTCTATAAGTTTATTTATCTGTTTTGTCTCTCCTTGAGATTTAGGTGTCAAGACCACAGTATCATAGAAGGAATTCAGTAGGATCCTTTTTCTTTTCTTATTTTTGCAAAGAGTTTATATAATATTGAAACTAATTATTCTTTGAATATTTGATAAAATTCACTTGTAAATCTATTTGATCCTAGGGTATTTTCCTTGGGAATTAATTTATGGTTTGTTCAATTTCTCTTTTTGAGTTTGGGTTATTTAAATTCTCTTTCTTGTTTTGTTTATTTCATATTTTTGTAAATATTCATCCATTTAATTTATCTTTGATAGACATATAATTGGGCAAAAATAATTTCTTCCTAATTTGCTGTGAATCTTCCCTTTAAATTTTTAATACTGGCAACTTGGCTTTCCTCTCACTTCTTAATCTGTCTAGATAATGATTTATCTATTTTATTGGTGTAATAGGAGACTTGCCAAAAAACCCATGTCCCATGAGCATTCTCAGAGTGTTTCTGATAAATTGTCTATGTGGAAGAAGCCAGGGAACCTGCTTCCAAGAGAGTCATGGTTATATGTAATGAAAATGCCTTGGAGAGAATTTGGGCCATTCATAGCCATTCGGTAAATGGTTCTAGTCTGCTAACCACATGTTGAATAGAAGCCTCTTTGGCTTCAGTTGCAGAATCAGAATGCAAGGTGCCTTCAAAAGATTTTAGTTATCCTTGACCTCCTTTCTTGGTTTAACTTCTCCTTGGCTAACTTCTTTCAATTTGAAGGCATCCTATGAGAGACAGTGTTGTAAGGAAAGAGGCTTCAGATCTGCCCATCAGAGGTAGACATACTGTCACCTGCTGGATCTTTGTTCTTTTGTCTTGGCACTTGTTCTTCTGTTTTAGGTAAAAGAGAATGGAGACTATAACCTTGTGAATTTTAAAAGAACGGGACAGGAAGTCATCCAGGTATCTGGCAGTCTAGGAGTAAAATCCATACCAGGTTTTGCTGGCAACACAAAATCAATGTTGAGGATTGAAGGGAGACCTTTGGAACCGAGCCCAGTTGGTTGTTGAGATAAAGATGCAGCGAAGCCTCATTTAGACATGAACTTGGTGAGACTAATGCTGTATAGAAACTGTATTAAGTCTGAGCTCACTCTCCCCAGAGATAAAGGTAGAGGAGAGCATGTCCCCAAGGTGTCAGGGAGAAATGTAGATTTCTACTCAGTGTATCTTCAATGTTAATATCTTTGTAAATGATGATTAATTTTTTAAAATTATGAGCTTTTTAAATTTATTTTTTCAAATTACATGTAAAAACAACTATTAACGTTTGTTTTTTTTTAAATTTTGAGTTCCAGAATCTCTCATTCCCTCTCCTCCCCCCACCTTGAGAAGGCAAGCAATTTGATATAGGTTATACATATATAGTCATGCAAAATATATTTCCATATTAGCTATGTTGCGAATGAAAACATAGACCAAAAAAAAAAACAAAACCCAAACAAACTAAGAAACGCAAAGCAAGTAAAAAAAAAATGTATGCTTCTATCTTCATTCAGACTCCATTAGTTCTTCCTCTGGAGGTAGATAGCATTTTTCATCATGAGTCCTTCAGAATTGTCTTGGATCATTGTATTGCTGAGACTAGCTAAGTCATTCATAGTTGATCATCATACAATATTGTTGTTACTCCGTACTGTGTTCTCCTGGTTCTGTTCACTTCACTTTACATCAATTCATGTAAGTTTTTCTATGTTTTTTTTTCTGAAATCATCCTGCTCATCATTTCTTATAGCACAATAGTATTCCATCACAATCATATACCACAACTTGTTCAGCCATTTCCCAATTGATGGGTATCCCCTCAATTTCCAATTCTTTGCCGCCACAAAAAGAGCTGCTATAAATATTTTTGTACAGATAGGTCCTTCTAAATTTCAGCTATTTTTCAAGATAAAGTGAGATATTTATTATATATTTTCTCGTGTAATAGTAGCTACGAGTGAAGAAGCCACTTCTAATACCACTACCATGGCCCAATCTGTGGCCTGCTCAGCTTGCTCAGGCAATTCATGGCCCAGGCCAAGCAGCAGACCAAGGCCTTGGAAGCACCCACTATTCATCATAGTATTTATGTGTTTCTTAATTGTTAAAATATATAAAACTGTGCCACAGTTTATATTAGGTTCTTATTTCTTTTTTTAAGATGTTACTAACAATATTTTTGAAAAATTGTGCCCCTAACTTCATTTCCCCCCATAAGCTCTGTGGTTTTTATTGCCTAATTTACCATAGCATGGTGCTTTTTGGGAATGCATATGTCTTATTATAGAACTATATACACTCACATACATACTATATATATATGTGTGTGTGTGTATATATATATATATACACATACCTTTTATTTTCTATTTTTTCTATCTTTTGATTTTGTTTTAATATTTCTTGCTCTATGTAGTTATTGATTTCTGTTTCATATGTTTTAATGTTCATGGAACCTATTTCTTGTGTAAGGTGTGTCAGCTGTTCTAAGCTATTAATTGTCCTTCTAAGTCTTTATTTCAAACTTTCCATTTAATTTTTAATCTCTTTCTCCATTTCTTCCATGTACTCTTATAGACCTTATCACTAAACCATTAATTTTTTCCTCTGTGACTCCACTTGTTGTTCTTGTAAGGTTTTTTTTTCTAGGTTCTTTTCTTGAGAGATCCTTGACCCATAATATTTGTTCATACTTTTCGATGTGTTTTTCTCTTTAGTAACATCTATAGCCTCAGTTATTGATTTGGGACTTAGTGCCAAGGTCAGGTCATACTACTTCCAATACTATTGTATCAAATCGTGAGGTACTATTTTGTCTTAACTTCACTTCCCTGGGTTTCTGCTGGTAGTTTCTATTTCCCTGAGTTTGTTAATGCTTAGAGTACTTAGAGGCTTCCAGTAACCCTGGTCAGTTCTCTGCAGCTGGTTGTCCATCCTAGACATTCCCCTCCCAGCCCTATTCCTGACTTCCAAAACATTCTCTCTTATCCTGTAATTTCTCTCAGAACCTGGAACATCCACTGTTCCTCCTCCACTTCCACCCAGTGATCTTCCTGACCTGGAACATCCCTTTATAAAGCTCGCCATCTTCTCTAATTGGTGAGTGCCTCCTGGAGTCTCCATTTTGTGGAGGGAGCCAGGTCAGCCTTTATTCTCCTCCCAGCCCTGTTCCCTTGCACTGGGTACCTTCATCCCATCTCCCTACCTGCTATCATTTTTTAAATCCATTTTTGCGTTGTCATCCCCCATTAGAATATATGCTCCTTGAGGACAGGGACTGTCTTTTTGTTTCTATTTGTATCGCTGAAACTGAACACAGTGTTTGGAATATAGTAAGTAAGTAATAATAATAATAATCTTTTTGTTTCTATTTGTATCCCTGGAGCTGAGCACAGTGTTTGGAATATAGTAAGCAATAATGATAATAAATAATAATAAATGCTTATTTCCTTCATTTGTTCCTTCCTTGATCAGGATGCTGGATGGTCTTAATTCTTCCTGAGTCTTCTTTGATCAGAGTTCTGGGTAGTTTGTCCCCCTTTGTCCTTCCTTATCAGAGTGCTTGGTGGTCTTTGTGTTGCCTGTGGTTTCCACATTCAGAGTGCATGATCTTCTGTCCATTCTGGGATTTCTCTGGTCAGGGTGCTAAGTGGTTTTCTCTTCTCCTCTGGGACTTTAACAGTCGGAGTGTTGTCTCTTTTGTCTTCTGTAGGGCGATCCCAGTCAGGGCACTTGGTGTTTTCTTGTCCCTTTGGGGTCTTCCCTAATCATCGTGTGACATTGTCTTCCATTCCCACTTGGGACTTCCTAACCTCCAGTCTCTAAATACTCACTGGACATCTCAAACTGAGCATGCCTTGGATATTTTGAATTCAACATGTCCAAAACAGAACTCATTTTCTTCCTCCCTTCTCCTGCCCCATATCCTAACTTTCTTGTTATTGTCAAGGACACTACTATGCACCTATACAACAAGACTTACAATCAAAGTGTCCTCCCCATGTTTCACTCTCTTGTCTCCCATATCCAATCTGTTACCAAGTCTTGCAGATTCCACTTTTGCAATATCTCTCATATATGACCCTCTAGTTGATTGTTCTGTCTGACTCATTTCTCCTTATTTCAATGCATCCTCTACTCACCTATCAAAAAGATTTTCCTAAAGCACAAGTCTAAGCATGTTGCACACCTCCTTCTCCTTCAATAAGTTCCTGTGCTTCCCTTTTACCTCCAGGATCAAATAGAAAATCCCCTGTTTGGCTTTTAAAGCCCTTTATAACCTGACCACTTCCTACATTTTAAGTCTTATTGTTTACATCCTTCCATGTGATCTATCATCCAGTGACACCAGCCTCCTTTGCTTTTCCTCACCCAAGCCACTCCATCTCCCAGCTCTGTTCATTTTTCACTGGCTGCCCCACTTCCATGCTTGGAAAGCTCTCCCTGTCATCTCTGCCTTTAGGCTTCCTTCACATTTCTGTTAAAATCTCATCCTCTGCAAGTAGACTTTCCCAGTCTTCCTTCATGCTAGTACCTACCCATTCCCTTCACATTTCTGGACTTTGCTACCATGCCTCAGCTGCAGTCTCACTCTGAAACTTCTATCAGTGCCTAGACCTCCTCACCCTAGAATATCTATTTGCCCCAGTGGCTTTCTCATCTTGCACTATCCCTTTGCCATGCCGGCCCCCTTCTCCTATAGATGAATTCCTCTAGGGGTCTTCATGTTGGTGAGGGACCCAGGCCAGGCATCATTCCCCTATGAGTTCTGCTTATTACTTTCCAGACTTGGACACCATGTGTGTGAATACCTTCTCCCCAGCCCTGCTTTTCAGTTCCCTTTTGTGTATTATCTTCCCCTATTAGAATGTAAACTCCTTGAGGGCAAGGACTCTGTTTTTCTTTCTTTGTGTGCTTAGCACAGTGTAGTACTTAGCACATAGTCAGTGCTTTATAAATGCTTCTTGACTTGATTTCCATTCCCCAACAAACCCCCCCCCCCCCCACACACATTTCCCCTATCAAAGGGTTGGGTGGTCTCTATACTTTCTGACATTTCCAAACTTTTACTCGTGCCTGGGACATTTTTTCTGAGGGATGCTGCATACGATGCTGCTATTATGATGCTGCATGCTGTACACATGGAGCTACCTCCATCTATGTGTGACTCCTGATTGTCTGAGAGACCCCTGAGACAGTGATGCTGCATACCTATGTGGTGAGCAGATACTGCAAAGGAGTTCGAAAGAGATGGATCAAAAGAGGCAAAGATGGACTAGAGATCTCCCAAGAGAAGACATGTGAAGAAGCTGGTCCCCAACGTGTCCCTTGATTCCCAATGCCAGAAACCCCAGAGACAGCTAAGAGTGGACTAACCCCTCCCCACCTCTCTGAGATACTTCTCTCTCCATAGTTGAGCTGAAATTTTATCTCTTCCAGCTGAAGAGGTTATTTATTCTTATGTATTCTTTAGTTTATTCTAATCTGTATCACTCAATTTTTGTTTGCTGTATACTTTGATAAAAAGGTTTAGTGATTATTCTTGATTGTCTTTTACATAACCAGCATCGGTGAAAAGACATGAAGATCTCAGTTTAATGAGACAGAGTGACAGAGACAGACAAAGACAGAGAGACGCATATACAGTGGAGGGGAGAGAAAGGGAAGGAAGAAAGACGAGGGAGAGGGAGGGAGGGAGAGAGAGAGACAGAGAGACAGAGACAGAGGGAGGCAGACAGACAGACAGAGAATGGTCTCACACATTTTCTAGGATTATAAACACTGGGAATGAAGGGACATGTTGGGAGCCAGTTTCCCTACAAGTCTTTGACTTCAGAGAGATCTCCTGCCCGCCATTGAAAATTCTTCATTGACCTCTCTCAACCCATCTCTCTCAAACTCCTTTGTGAATCCTTTAAAACTGAATGTGTTTAAAAATGCCCTAATCAAGAAAATCTCTAGCATGGTTTTATACGCATCTGCCAATTTACTTTTGCAACATGGTTGAATTGGCCTATAGGGGCCATATCATGCGGTATGTTTAGTGTTGTTTTTCCTGTTTCTGGTTGGTCAGTTGGGACCTGTTTCCAGTAACATGGCTAAAGAGATTGTACTTTGAGATTATGAAGAGTCCTCTTGGTTGCAGAGCAGGAAGAGCTAATAACTCAGTGGATGTACAAAGGGGAGCAACTGTTCCCTTCATTGCTCTCTTCCTTTCTGGCTGCAAATTGAGTATTATTCTGAGTTGCTTTCTGGGGGGCAGGGGAAGAGTTATTTTCCATTATCCCCTAGCACAAGCTTGCATACAGCCATAAACATATGGCATTAAAAGGATATTTCCCATGTGGGCAAGCCTGTGCTACCTCTATTGTATATATTCTTTCCTGATTTTAGGCAAAAGAATATCCTGAGTCGGAGAGGCTTTTAGGAGGCCATATGAGTTCAAAACATCCTGAGGACTTGGGTACCAGCTGGCCATCATCAGCTCAGAGTGGATGGCTGCTTACAAGAGGATTGGCCCAAGCCTGGCTGTTTTACCAACAGACATGTACCAAAAGTTGTTTGGATGATACAGAGCCAAGGTAAATTATAAAATATGTACTTAGCAGTACCACAAACTGCTTTAAATTCCAAGGAAGTTTAAATATCAGCATTCCAACAGATTTTAACCAGAGTTATAAGTTATCATTGAATACTGTCCCATTAATGCACTCTTCTATCTCTTATATTTAGTATTTCTTTATATAGGAATAAATTACCCGTTCCAAACTTGGTTCATATTGTACATCAAGTACCTTTCTACTCCATCTTTTTATTGAGAAACCATAGATTAAACCTAAAGCTTGAAATAATTTGCCTCTGTGGTGCTGGGCTGGGGGAATCTCATGAAATGAAGGGTGCAAGAAAAGGGAGCCAATCCTTCTAATTAGAGGCCAGGTTCCTTGGGATTGAAGTGGTCCAAATCACATGCCTTGGTCCAAAGTAGAGGAGACTCTTGGGGGGTCAAGAGAGTGCCAAAAGATTCTAGTCCCTATGGGCTCAGCAGTAATTTCTCAAGGTTATGTTTTAATTAGGAATTCCAGAGATGGAGGATACCATTTGGGTTAATCTCCTTAATTTACACATGAGCAAACAGAAGTCCAGAAATGGAAAGGGCCTTGCCAAATGTCATCCAACCAGCCAAAACTGGAACCCAGGTCCCCTAATTCATATACAGTCTAATGCTTTTTCCAGTACACTTCCCTTTCAAGTTCACTCATTTTAGTATAGTTTACTTGTATGTGTAGTTGACAAAGAAAATGCTATTTGTTTTTTGAAAGTGCCTTTAATTATCTGAACATTTCAGGTGAAAATGCCTTATCCTGAAATTTTGAAATGTAATTTATTGTCAATTTGCCGCATTACTTTGTTTATGCCCCAGGAAAATGTAAGTTCCTTTGGGCAAGAACAGTTTTTCATTTTGTCTATGTATCCTAGCACAATTTTGCACATACATGGTGGATGCTTAATAAATGTTTGTTAGAATGAACAAACACAGACCAATATAAACACATACACATACACATACACCTACACATCTCATCTTAATACTATGGACACCTCCAACTCCCACTACAATTGTTCATATGAATTAGGGAGGTTTTGTTTGTTTATGGCTCCCAAATGAATGTCTGGTTTCCTTGTGGCTGTAGTGGGCCTGCGATGGAGAAAAAACCCTTGAGTAGGCCAGGGCTGGTTTTCACAGTGTTTGATGGTGATACTGGGAAAAGAACTATGTTTAGAAATAATTATTTTGTCTTTTTGAGAGGTCTTAATGCTTCCTCCCTGGCAGCTGGAGGAAATAGCTAGAAGTATCACATACTCCAATAAAAGCAATTTTGTCTCTGTCCTCATCATTGCTTTGGGAGATCAGGAGGCTTTGTCAAGGAGAGAGGAGGGTTAATGGGTATAGAGAGAACCCCATCTAGCATAGTGTCTTATACATAGTATAAGGCAATTAATGGATATTTGTTGAGTTGAATTGAATCCATGGTAAGGGAGATATCCACACCTTTCCTAAGAACTGATTTTATGGACATTATTAATTTCCTACAATTTAGTACCTAGGGAAGCAACCTAGGGAAGTATAGCATAGCAGTGGAAAGAGTTGAGATCAGGAGATGTACTTAGAGTCCTGGCAAGCTTCAGTTTCCTAAACCTGAGTTTCCTTTTCTATAAAATGAAGGTATGATTCAACAGTCATTTATTAAACACCTCTAGCCTTGCGGAACACCTTGCTTCTAGGCCCTCAAGGGTTAGACTACTAAGTTACTCCCTGTTCAGTACCCAGGCTCAGTCTTGGGGAACCTGATCTCCCACGAGTAAAGCTTCAAACCCTTCACCCTGGTACTATGGGAAAATTTCATTTGTTGTTTAAACTATGATTCACTCTACAGGTTCTTCTAAAATGGAGAGTAAAAAGATACTAAATATGCAATATGAATTAGGTATGAGACAAGTAATTTATTTCTACATTCACAAGAAATGCTAAATGTAATAGGCTCAACAGTATACCTTTAACAAAATGGCTTAAAAAGATTGTAGTAACAACTTATGAGCAGCGAGGTGGTACAGTGGATAGAACACTGGGCCTGGAGTCAGGAAGACTCAAGTTCAAATCTGGCTGTGTGACCCTGGGTGAGTCACTTAACCCTGTTTGTCTTAGTTTCTCAACTGTAATGAGCTGGAGAAGGAAATACAAGAAAAAAGCATGTCTCAAAGCTCCCATAAGTTTGGCCGGGAATGGCAACTCTGATCATGATCCATGGGATGGCTCCAATAGGCCAGTTCAATGTTGCTACACACCTGTTTAGAGACTGGAAATCCAATGACAGAAGCAAAACCATTCCTCATTTCACCTTCCTGCCCTCAAGGAAGATATGTTCTAGTGGGGAAATATGACATTCATAGATAAACAAAGACAAAGTAATTTGAGGAGAAAGTTCACTAGTGACTGAAAGGATTAGAAAAAAAAAAGTTTCCTGTAGGAGGGAGCATCTGAACTGGACCTTGAAGGAATGAGACATTCTAGGAGGCAGAGGTGAGAAGGGAGTACATTATAGGAAGAAGAAATAGACCATGCAAGGGAACATAGGGTGCAAGAATGAGAGATGGAGTGCTGTTTGGGGGAATTGCAAATGGGCCAGTCTGACTAGGATGTAGAGGTTTTTAAAGGAGAGTATAGCTTGAAAGGTATGTAGGAGTCAGACTGTGGAGAGCTTTGAGTACCAGGCTGAAGAGTTGTCTTTTATCCTTGAAGCAAAGTGGAGCTGCTGTAAAAGGTGGACCTATCACCAACACTCCCTAATTTCAAGTTATGTTTTGGGATGAAATGAAGTACTCATAAATCATCGAACAATTAACTAAAAGGAGGTTTACTTTGATCAACATAGCAAAGATATGCAATGAGGATTCAGCAGCACTTATCACCAGCTTTGGTAGATGTGCCCCACCTGACCTCCTTATGAAAACTTCTCTGGTCAGCAGGTCAGCAAGGGAGTGTAAAGCAATTTGTGTGGTCTCAGATATTCACTTGGTCTGAGAGGCACTGTCTCTACCCAGGTGAGACTTTTTATACCCTCATCTAACCAAGAAATTCTATCAGGAAAGCAAGGGTCAATCAAGATCTAGGTACTTCTTTTTCTCTCTTTAGAAAAAACTAATCCTTGCCTCAGAAGGGAAGGCAATGTGGGTCTAGCCCATGTTTTGGGTAGATATTAGTCCTATCACAGCCACCCTTAAGATTTATGAGCAGGGCAGTGACATGGCAACACCTATGACTTGGGAATACTAATTTGGCAGCTGTGTAAAAGATGGGTTGGTTAAGGGAGAGATTTGAAGCAAGAAGATTGATTGATAAGAGGTCGTTGTAGCCAAGATCAGAAAGAAAGCAAAAAATTGAGAAAAAAATACAGCATAGACAGTTTCCCAGAACAAGGTCTCATATCTCAAATATATAAAGAATTTTTAAAATCTGTAAGAATACAAGTCATTCCCCAATTGATAAATGGTCAAAGGATTTGAATAGGCAATATTTAGATAATGAAATCAAAATGTATAGTCATCTGAAAAAATGCTCTAAATCATTATTGGTTAGAGAAATGCACATTGACTGGTTAAAATGATTGAAGGAGAAAATGACAAATGTTGGAGGGGATGTGGAAAAAGTGGGACACTATCATTGTTGGTGGAATTGTGAGTTGGCCCAACCATTTTAGAGAGTAGTCTGGAATTATGCTCAAAGAGTTATTACTTTGACACAGCAATATCACTACTAGATCTGTTTTCGAAGATGATTAAGGAAAAATGAAAAGAACCTGTATGTTCTAATATATTTATAGCAGTTCTGTTTGTGGTGGCAAAAAACTGGAATTGAGGGGATGCCTGTGAACTGGGGAATGACACAACAAGTTGTGGTATGTGATTGTGATGGAATACTACTGTGGTATAAGAAATGATGAGCTTAATGATCTTGGAAAAACATGGATGGATTTGAATGAAATAATGAAGAGCAAAATGAGCAGAACCAAGAGAACATTGTATATAATAAACAATATTGTTATAGGAACACCTTTGAGCAAGTAAGTCATTTTGATTATTAGAAAAACCCAAATGTACTGCAAAGGACATGTGCAGAAAGATACTACCTGCATCTAGAGAAAGAACTAATAAATAGAAGTATGTATAGAAGAATAGCTTTTACATGCATATGTATATATATATGCATATTTGTGCCTAATAATAGTCATCTCTAAGGTGGGAGGGGGAAGGGAAGAAAAAAAGAAAAAGAAAAGAAATTTACGTGATAACTATTATATATTTAAAAGGAATAGCAATTGTGCATAATGTATTTACAGTGGCTGCAGCGACCCTGCAGCAGGCCTCAGAGGACTGAATCGTGGGCAGCTGTGGCGATTTCCAGACTTTTCAATCCACGAATGCCAAAGAAAACTTAGAAGGTCAGTGGGAAAAGTCTGTGACTACGGTGAGAGAAGGAGCTAGGTCTCAGCTGCCCTCAGGACCGCGGCTGTTTCCTGAGCTTTCGGCCCACAGACTGAGGGGGAATCAAGTGGCGGATCAGAGGGGGATTGCAGGGTTCTCTTTGCCAGTGCTGAGGCAGGAATCTCTTGCTTTACCTGTACTTGGATCTGTGTCACAGTTCTGAGGGGCAGTCCTGGGGCGAGGAGGAGCGCTGGTGTGGTGAAGCTTGTTGTGGCAGTGGAGAGAAAACAACTCGCCCCTTATCATAGCACCTTGGAAGAACTGAAAATTTTCAGGTCCCTAGAAGTACCTCTGAAAACAGCTGTACAAACCCCCGAAGCTTGAGACAGTACTTTCTCCACATTGGAAACGGACTTTTACCTTAACAAAGAGTTTAAAACTCAAGTAATTGTCTGGAATCATGAGTAAGCAACGCAAAAAGAATCAGACTATATTATCTTACTTTGGTGACAAAGAAGATCAAAACATACAACCAGAAGAAGACAACAAAGTCAAAGCTCCTACATCCAAAGCCTCCAAGAAAAATATGAATCAGTCCCAGGCCTTGAAAGAGCTCAAAAGGGATTTTGAGAAGCGAGTAAGAGAAGTAGAGGAAAAACTGAGAGTTTTGCAAGAAAATCATGAAAAACATAATATATTTACAGTTTCATGTGCAATCATCTTTTTTATTATACTATTTATGGAAATACTTGTTTTATTCCATAAATTAAAAATAAAGTAAATATTTTTTTAAAATAAGAGGCTGTTGCAATAATTTAAGCAATTAAGTGTGATGAGGACCTGAACTAGAGTAGGAGCCTTGAGAATAGAAAGAAGAAGTAGATACCATATTTTTATTAGAAATGGAATCAATAAGACTTGGCAGTTGGGGTAGGGGATGGAGGTGAATTGGAGAAGGAAATGGCAAACCACTCCAGTATCTTTGCCAAGAAAACCCCAAATGGGGTCATGAAGAATCAGACACAACAGAAAACAACTGAATAACAACTGAAATGGAGTTGAGTAGAAGGAGATGGAAGAATCAAAGATAAATGCAAGGATAATACTTGCATTACCTACCTCATAGGGTTATTGTTGATTAAAAGAAAATAAGGGAAAAACAATTTGTGATAAAAATTTCAGCATCAAAAGATCTGTGATTTTGTAAGTGTGAAGTGTTCTCTCTTCTGACACGTTCTGTAATGTGTCCATGCCTTAGTAGATGATCTTTCATGAGTTGTTACAGCCAAAACAGTTTATCACCTGGTATTTATCCTTCTGTGGAAGAGCCTCTGCTATCTTAGCTAGACGAGACCTCAGACCTCTGCTCAAAGTCATTCCAGCTTGGAAGGTCTGGCAAGAGTTGACATTCTTCTGGAAGAGCCTTTCAGAACACAGGATTGTCTATATGACACACTGTGGCATCACAGGAGGACTAGAGGTTTAGTTAAGCAAATATAATTAATACTACAATATTATTTGCTGTATTTACAACAATAGTAGATTTGCAGACAGTATCTCCTTGTCTGATTATAAGTATTAAACTTAGAGATGCAGACAATTGCCATTTTCCCTCATCTATAAGATGGGAAGGTTTCTTCACCTACTATATGTCAGTGCTCTATTTTCAAGGATGTTAGCAACAGGAATGGTTTAACTCAGTTCTTGCTGTGTAGTGTTTATATGTTGTGATTGTCGCAATTCGAGGTAGAGTAGGGAGGTAAGTAAGGCATAATTAAGTTGTGTTATACATTTTGCAGTATTTTATTTGTTATTGTTATTTTTTTAAAGTTTGGTGCCTTTTGCTTCTGACACCACAGTTATTCCCCACTAAAAACAACCCTCCCTCGTAACAAAGAAAAATAGTAAAGCAAAATCAACTGATGTGGTAACTGCATCTTAAAGAGTATACAAAAATCTACAACTATAATGTCCCACCTCCCTACTGAGGGGAGGGAAGTTCATTGCTTTATCATCAGTCATCTGGAATCAAGATTCATCATATTATGTTTTCAAACTTCACTATTTGAAAGTGAATGTTATTCACATCATTTAAAAATTATATGAAAGTTAGATAAGGCACCTTACAGTATTATGGATGGGGAAGAATTCTTAACTAAACAAAATATAGAGGTTATCACAAAAATTAAAATAGAGAATTTCAAGTATATGAAATTGAAAATCTTCAAAATCAATGCAATAAAAAGGAAAGTGTTAGATTGGAGGAAATACATCAAATATTTCTGACAAAGGTCTGATATCTAAGATATATAAATTCAGGTGTATAACAGAAATATATAAGATCAAACCCATTTCCTAGTGATAAATGACCAAAAGATGTAACAAATAGTTTTCAGAAGAAGAGTTGCACACTGTAAACAAACACATAAAATTGCTTCAGATCACTAATTTTATGAGAGACGCAAGTCAAAATCTCTCTGAATACTTTATACTCTGCAAATTGGAAAAAATGGCAAAAGATGGGAATAATCAATGTCAGAGATATGGTGGGGAAAGATAGACACACATATATAGCCAGTGGAGCTGTGAATTGATCCAATCATTCTAGAAAGCAATCTGGATTTTTTTTTCAAAGAAATTGAAAATATATAGACATTTAAATTCTTCATAGACTCTTTGATGGCAGAAAATGAAGAATTAAGCAGCTTTTTGATGAGTGAAATAAGAAACTGTAAAAGCTGGCTTGAAGCTTAATATAAAAAAAACAACAACTAAAATCATGGCAACTAGTACCATCACTTTCTGGCAAATAGAGGGAGAAGAAATGGAAGCAGTGTCAGATTTTGTATGCTTTGGCTCAAAGATAACTGCAGATAATGACTGAAGCCATGAATTTAAAAGACAGTTGCTCCTTGGAAGGAAAGCTATGGTAAATCTGGACAGCATACTAAAAAGCAGAGACATCACCTTGCTGACAAAGGTCTGTAGAGTCAAAACTATGGTTTTTCCAGTAGCAATGTATGACTGTGAAAGCTGGACTATAAGGAAAGCTGAGCACAGTAGAATTGATGCTTTCAAATTGTGGTGCTGGAGAAAGCTTTTGAGAGTCCCTTGAACAGCAAGGAGATCAAATCAATCAATACTTGAATTAATTAATTCACACTATTCATTGGAAGGTCTAATACTAGAGCTGAAGCTTAAATACTTTGGCCATGCAATGAGAAGACAGGATTCATTGAAAAAAAAAAACCCTGATGTTGGGAAAAAAATGAAGGCAAAAGGAGAAGGGGACAGCAGAGGATTAGATGGATAGATAGTGTCATGAAAGCAACAAACATGAGCTGGAAGATGGAGGATTGAAGTACCCGATGTGCTTTGGTCCATGGGGTCACAAAGAGTCGGACATGACTGAATAAATGAAAAACAACAATAACAAAATACTCTTTGACCCAGAGATCCTACTGCTAGACATATATTCAAAGAGGTCAAAGATAAAAACATTCCATATACCCCCAAATATTTATAGCATCACTTTTTGTAGGTGCAGAGATCTGAAAAAAAATACATTGCTATTGACTAGGGAATAGTTAAACAAATTATAGTAAATGAGTGTAATGGAATATTTTGAGCCATGATGAATATGAACAATATAGGAAAGACTTCTTGCATGGAAAGACTTCAATGAACTGATACAAAATTAAGGAAGCAAAATCAAGAAATCAATATATGCAGTGATTTACAGGAACAACAATTGAAAATGGAACACGGTGCAATTTAAATAACACCAAAATGAGTTCTTTGGCACCAAAGAACTCTGAGAGTGGACCTCCTGTCTTTGCAGAGGAGATGGGGGGAGGAGAGGAAGGCTAAGAATGTAGGACACTATATATACTGTTGAACTTAATTTATTTATGGTTAATTTTGCTGAACTGTTTTTTTTCTCTTTCTTTTTAATTTTTTGTTTTAAGTAACGGTTCTTTGAGTGGGAGTGAGGGGAGGAGTGGTATATTGAAAAAATTAAGGTGACATAAAAACAAAAGATATCAATAAATTTTTTTAAAAAGAAGTGAATATTTCTTGTTATGAAATAATTCATGAGTCCATGGGAAAGAAGAGATGAGTGCCTTGTTCTACATTGGTTATGGGTGTGCTGGAGTCAGCTTGAACTGGCCCTAAAGAGCTGATTGTTAAGTTTCCAGTGTGAGCATTTATAACTTGTAAATCAGCAAATGCTACAAATCAGGATGTGATTCATTGTTTTGTTAATTGTCTATTCTTAAGAAAGAGATGGAGAAAATGTAAATAATGCAGATTAATTTAAAAGTATATACTTTTTTTTGGAGAGCTAGTCTTTAAACATTTACCAGGACACTGCTGATCATTGCCCCTGCTCAGTCTATGGAAGAGGGAAGGATACTGGATAAAGAGATTGTTCTCACAGAAGAACCATGTAATTTTATCATGGTATGACCATTTTAAAACTAGGATGGTACATTTCCACTCAATGCGTGAATTTGTTTTTGTTGTTCAGTCACGTCCAACTCTTCATGACCCCATTTGGAGTTTTCTTGACAAAAATACTGGAGTGGTTTGCCATTTCCATCTCTAGCTCATTTTACAGGTGAGAAAACTGAAGCAAAATTAAGTGACTTGCCCAGGGTTACACAACTAGTAAATATCTGAGGGCAGATTTGAACTTAGGAAGATGAGTCCTCCTGACTTCAGGCTCAGCATTCTGTCCACTGTGCCACCTAACTGCCCAATGCACAAATACCATCTACACCATTCCTAATAATAAAGCATTATCACAATGTCTAAAAGGTCTAAGCACCACATTTTTAAAGATGGACCTGGACTTGGATCTAAGAATGTAACATTCTTAGTATGACAGCACACCTGGTAGCTTTAAGGGAAGCTTTGAGAATTGTTCTCCTGTAACTTCACAATACAAG